TGGAATGCTTGTACAGAAAGAATACAATCGCCGCCATGATGAATTACCCTTTCATCTGCATTTGGTGCCGTATGAATTTGAAATCGAACAGAAATGGTGTCGCCACAAAGCAGAGTAAGGGATCAAAAACGATCGAGTCAAGATCTTATGGGATTTCAGCGTCCAAAAAAATCACATTCTTGAGACCATCAAAATCAGACATCACTGCCGTTTAAAAACAAGCAAGAAAATGCTTCTTCGTCGATGTGACTGTTCCCGGTCACCATAATACCAAAGTCAATGACATTGATAATCTTAAGTACACTGTCCTCTGGAATGCCAAAATATGGGACGTTCGAGGCACTATTATCCCAGTTATCATTGAGGCATCGGGGTCTATACCACCGAACCTAAAGATCTACATGAAGAAAATCAGAATAAGGCCTAGCATGTCTCTTCCGGATGTCTCAGTTATCTCCCTTTAACCCAATTTTCTAAGGTTATGTTCACCACTGAAGTAGCCGGGTATTGAACTCACAACTCTTTGGGTCAAGTTACTGGATCCAACCAACGCTTTTATTCTATGGGCCATGTGTCTTTTAGGACAATCATCTGAAGAAGATCGGAGCGTACAATGATCGAAACATCGTGAATATGACAATAAAGATGAAGATAACAGTCCGAACAATAGAAATAATTTAAGTAGATTAGTCATAGATACTGTTTAATTTATGCGACCAAATCTCCGTAAAATTGTATATGAAATTATAACTAACAAGCTTTTTTTATTCTTTGACTCAAGTTCACTCCAGACATCGCGTGGAATTCGTATATACGATCCAATGCTAAAGATGCCGGGAAAATGGTTGGTTCCTTGTACTACACCAGGAAGTACCTGACTCCTCCTACCATGCTCTAGGTTTACATCAGACCAACAAATGGTGTACTGCTGTCATATTTGAACTGGAGCTGCCAACTACTCTCTTTCTAGTCTCGACAGAGTTCAAAAACTCCGTAAAGAATTGTTTGCCACCCGACAATCCATTTCTTCACAGATGAACCATTATTAGCTTCTCACTGATCTATTGATATTTTCATAGCAGATGTTCGGACTAACTACTGTCATCGGTTTTACCTGTTCAGACCATTACAGCTAGGCCCCGACATGCCACGTAGACAGAGTCGAATCATCTTCATTCTCTTCATATCACACTGGTAAGGAGGAAGTTTCTTGTCATCTTCATTTAATTTGCTTTATTTTTACTAGTAGTATTAGTGGTAGTAATATTATCTGGATTTTTTATTAGATGAAGCATTGTCAGCCATTATTCATTTTTGAGTAGGATATCTTTTTCTTAATTTCATTTACTTTTCATCTTACACTATTATTACTAATACTATCTAGAAATGTTATTGGATAATGCATTGTCAGCCATTATTAATTCGCGTCTATTATTTCTTTCGTCTTAATATCTTCCATTCCGTGTTGGTTAATATTATCCATGAAATGGCGGTCTATACTTCCGAAAAGAGCATGTGAAATTCGGACGGACAAGATACAAATCATAAATGGCTGACAATATTTCACCTTATTTATAAAAAATAATCGAGAGAATAAATGTTAATATTTCTTAAAGTATAAAATTATTCAGGATTTAAGTTTCTAAGACTTAAATTCGAATTTTTACCTTACATATCACAAATGGTGAAAGGATTTAATCGATTGAATTAATTTTGTTTTTAATGTTCAAACTAATCGATATTTTTATTCATTTATGCAGTTTGATAAGATAAAATTCTACCTGTGTTCCATATTAGTTGTTACATTTCATATTGAAATGTTTAGTATCTGTCTATATTTCTGAGATGAGGTATTATGTACACTATTTACATTATTCGGACTATTGCTCTCTTTTTTGTTCCCATATTTATCACAAAGTTTCGGCCGTTGCACGCTCCGGACTTCTTCAGGTGGTTGGAGTGTCGAACTGAACACTTTATTTCGCTCACTGGGGCAGACTCTTCTAGCTCCATGTGCCATGTCTAATTGCACGTCGAGCTAGAACGCCTTTATCCATTGTGCCATGTGTCCTCGAGGACACATGACACAATGGATAATGGCGTTAGTTAGATCCAGTGACAGGATCCAAAGAGTGTGAGTTCAATACCTGGGTAAGGCGGTGGAGAACTTAGAGAGGGGAATTAACAGGAGATAGCTGATAACTGACATCCATAAGTAGGCCAGGGCGTACAATGACCGAAACGTTGTGATAAATATGGCAACAAAGATGAGGATAATAGCCCGAATAATGTAAATAGTTCAATGTTTAGGCAAATGTAACACTGTTATGGGACGACGGTATTAAATTGTTTCAGATATATTTTCAAAGTAATGAAAGTAAAGATATTTTTATAACTTTCATCCTTCTTTCAAGTTTAATTTATTTCCTTAAAGTAAAGATATATTTTTTATTTTCTTGCTTATTAGTAATATTCGGTCATAATACTTTGATGAAATAATAATAATAATATAAATTTCAATAACCATTCTTAATGACAATATTTACTATAAATACAGACATGCCCGAAATAATTGATCTAATTATGGTCTGCGTAATTTTAATGCTCCATAAAAATTAGGGGGTAAGTGTCGTCATATGAGACAGGAAAATAAAAAAAAATTAAAAAAATCTCCGTTACAAGGCAAATGAATCCAAGAAAGACAGTATCATTATAATAACGTAGATTACTATGACTAGAAGAAAACCATGTCTTAAATCAATCAGCATTCAATAGAGAAAGAAACTGTCTATTGAGATTATTGCCTCGGCATTGAAATTTTGACACACTGACATCTTTTCAGATGTGTACCCACCTGATTAATATTTAGAAGTTAGAACAGTATGTGTTTGAAGATTGCCTGGTCACGAATATTGTTTGAAACACCCGCAGTCCAATAACAAATATAGTGAATCATCTGTTGTCGAGTTGGAAGCAATTTGAAACACTGATCGTTTAGAGTTCTGGAATGTATATTGAATATCAGTTCAAAGAATTCTATATTCCTTCTACAGAAAGGGTTTCTGTTACGTTTATTTGAACAAGAAAGGTAAAGAATTCTATATTCCTTCTACAGAAAGGCTTTCTGTTACGTTTATTTGAACAAGAAAGGTAAAAATTCTATATTCCTTCGTTTAGGCTTTTGAACGTTTATTTGAAGAAGAAAGGTAAAGAATTCTATATTCCTTCTACAGAAACGGTTTCTGTTACGTTTATTTGAAGAAGAAAGGTAAAGAATTCTATATTCCTTCAACAGAAAGGGTTTCTGTTACGTTTATTTGAACAGGAAGAAACGGTTTCTGTTACGTTTATTTGAACAGGAAAGTAAATAATTCTATATTCCTTCAACAGAAAGGGTTTCTGTTACGTTTATTTGAAAATGAAAGGTTTATTTAAAGAATTCTATATTCTTTCTGTTCGTTTATTTGAACAGAAAGGTGAATTTATATTGTTACGTTTTATTTGAATTCTATAACGTTTATTTGTAAAGGAAAGGTAAAGAATTCTATATTCCTTCTACAGAAACGGTTTCTGTTACGTTTATTTACGTTTATATTCCTTTACAGAAAAGGGTTTCTGTTACGTTTATTTGAACAAGAAAGGTAAAAAATTCTATATTCCTTAAAAGGCTTTCTGTTACGTTTATTTGAACAAGAAAGGCAAAGAATTCTATATTCCTTCTACAGAAAGGGTTTCTGTTCGTTTACAGAAAAAGGGTTATTCCTCCTACAGAAAGGGTTTCTGTTACGTTTATTTGAAGGGTTTCTGTTAAGAACAGAAAGGTAAAAATTCTATATTCCTTCTACAGAAAAGGGTTTCTGTTACGTTTATTTGAACATGAAAGGTAAAGAATTCTATATTCCTTTTACAGAAAGGCTTTCTGTTACGTTTATTTGAAGAAGAAAGGTAAAGAATTCTATATTCCTTCTACAGAAACGGTTTCTGTTACGTTTATTTGAACAAGAAAGGTAAAGAATTCTATATTCCTTCAACAGAAAGGGTTTCTGTTACGTTTATTTGAACAGGAAAGGTAAAGAATTCTATATTCCTTCTACAGAAAGGCTTTCTGTTACGTTTATTTGAACAGGAAAGGTAAAGAATTCTATATTCCTTGTACAGAAAAAGGGTTACGTTTATTTGAACAAGAAAGTTAAGAATTTCTATATTCCTTCAAGAAAACGTTTATTTGAACAGGAAAGGTAAAATTCTATATTCCTTCTACAGAAACGGTTTCTGTTACATTTATTTGAACAAGAAAGGCAAAGAATTCTATATTCCTTCTACAGAAAACGGTTTCTGTTACGTTTATTTGAACAAGAAAGGTAAAAGAATTCTATATTCCTTATTTCTGTTACGTTTATTTGAACAAAAGGCAAAGAATTCTATATTCCTTCTACAGAAAGGGTTTCTGTTACGTTTATTTGAACCAGAAACGGTTTCTGTTACGTTTTTGAACAAGAAAGGTAAAAGAATTCTATATTCCTTCTGAAAAGGGTTTCTGACAAAATTTACAGAAATATCGTTTATTTGAACGAATTCTATATTTCTTAAGGGTTTCTGTTTTTAATGACAAAATTCTATATTCATTCTAAAAGGGTTTTTACGTTCATTTGAACAAGAAGGTAAAAATTCTATATTCCTTCTACAGAAAGGGTTTCTGTTACGTTTATTTGAACAAGAAGAATAAGAATTCTATTTTTCTTTTGAAAGGCTTTCTTTTGTGTACTTTTCAGACAAAATTATAATATAAAAGAGGCTTCTACAAAATATATTTTGCTTTATTTTTGTTTTATATATATATATATATATATATATATATATATATATATATATATAGCATAGTCGGATGTCCGGAAAATAAAACCTTTAAAATCTGTTAATGGTAAATTCATCAAATTTTAATTTGAATAATGAAATATTCTCGAATTTAACTTGTGTGTAGATTTAGGAAGAATTTTAAGATGATATTGCTTTTTCACAACGGCAGTACAAGAAAACAGATCGATTCAGAGAATAAGACATGTAAGTGTCCGTATTCTATTGTCATCAAATTCAAATGATTAAAATCGAATCAGTTTTCTCTTATATATATTTTTCGTCCTTTCTCACCTCCACCGGTTAATTTTCTCTCTCTCTCTCCTTCCACGTTTCTCTCTCTCTCTCTCTCTCTCTCTCTCTCTCTCTCTCTCTCTCTCTCTCGCTCGCTCTCTCCTACTATTCTTTTCGCTCTTCTTTCTCCACTTCTTCTTTTCTCTCCGCTCCTCCTCTCACTTTTCTCTCTCTTCCTCTCTCCCGCGTCACTTTCCTCGTCTTCTCTCGGCCCCTCCTCTTCCTCATCATTCAATCCTTGTCTTCTCTCTACTCCCCCTCTTTTCTTTTTCTCATTTTCACATTCTTTTTCCTCTTCCTCTTCAGCTCCCTCTCTTCTTCTCTCCTCCTCTACCACTTCTCCCTCCTTTCCTTTTCTTATCATTTTCACGTCCTTTTCTCTCTATTCCTAATTATTTGCCCTCATCTTCTCTCTACTCCTTCTCTTTCTCTTTTGGTTTTCTCTCCTCTTCCACTTCTTTTTCCTCCTCCTCTTCATCTTTCTTTCTTCCTATTTCCCTCTTTTCTCCTCCTTGACTCTCTCCTCCTATTCCGCTTCTCTCGCCCTCTTAGCTTCCCTCTCCTCTTTCCTCTTCTCTCTCCCTCCTTTTCCTCCCTCTCTCTCTCTATCTTTCTCTTGATATAAATAAGCTTAGTAAACTTCAGTCTCAATAGCGTGTGAATAAACAAGCTAGTCTTCCGGAAGCATTCGCCAACTTATCCTTGTGCCAGACTATTTGAAAATGCCTCTCTTAGCGGTCTCCTGATAAAATCAATCTCGCAGATCCATTCGTTACTGCACTGTTTGCTCCTTACCAAATGCCCCACTACTTAGACAATATGCCACACTAAACCCGGTTAATCAAATAACGGACTACCCCATCCCCAACGAGAATCCTTTACGGAGAAATTTTGACGCTTTTTAGTAAAGATTCATAGATTTTGTCTCAGAACCAAACCCAGTCACGGAGTTGCTGTTTTTTTTTTTTTGTTTTTTTTTGGTTTTTTTGTTTTATCTATGTTGTTACATTAATCGATAATCGTGCAATACAAATGATGTGCGATCGATTTCCATGGAATTATTCAGTTTATATTTTGGTAAACAAAAATTAGATTTGCACTGAGCACAATCCATGTACAGAGACGAAAACATAAGCAGACGTACACAGAACTGCAGACGTACACAGAACTGCAGACATACACAGAACTGCAGACGTACACAGAACTTCAGGCGTGCACAGAACTGCAGACGTACACAAAAATACAAAGAGAGAGAGAGAGAGAGGCAAATGCCTGACGATGCAGACATTCATGTCTATGAATGCATAGACGTGCCTTTCTGATTCCTTTTCTCTATGTCACGTTCATTTACACGCGCTATGATGCAGTTACCTGTACCGAATTGATTGCCATCTTTCTCACTTTCTTCTGCTATTGAAGACAAGCTACTCCTAAAAAATGTATGCACTTTAAGTTTGCTAATAGCAGCTCTGTTTACTACAGGGAAATTAAACACTTTTAGAATGAAGAATAAACGTTTTACTCACTATCCATTAATGTATATCTTTTGAATTATACAGTAATTCTTTTTGATTAAAAAGAAAAATGTGTAAGGGGTGCTGAAAAACTCGACCTATTTCGCAAAATCTTTTTTTTTTGTATGAGAAAAAGAATTATTGGTCGAAAGGGGAACTTTTCTTCAGAATCTGGTTTGAACAAAAAATGTGTATTTTATTAACGTCTTTTTTTCTTCTTCAAATGTTACGCGCTTAAAATAAGACGCCATCTTTCTAAACTTCATAATAATATTTTTAAAGAAACTTTTACTTTCAAGTAAAAATCTGAATTGCCATTAACAATGTGTAAGATATTTACTGAACGTGGGGAGAAGGGAGCACTCCTTTTAGACAAATACAGTCTATCTATCTTAGAAAGCTTAACGTGGCACAATGTTTAACAAGTTTATCCCATAGACTAATTTGATAGTGCAGAGTGACTATCATAAAATGTTCCCACTATTATGGCGTTGCAACAAATTAAGTTATATTCAGCAAATAATTTGAGAGAAATGATTGCGTTTTCATCAGTGCTGCTGTTCGGTGTTCGAGTTTAGGTATAAAAATAACATCGAATGCCGATTTTCGAGGCATACTAGACCTTCTTACCTATATCCAGTCGGTCATGTTTTAGACTAACTTATTAGTTTAATATATTGAAACAGAAACAAAAGAAGATTCCAACAGCGGCAACAACAAAAATGAATAGCACATGTCAATAGACAAGATAATAATGACATAATTAATGTGTTAGCATTCCACACTATCTTAACTAAAAAGTATGGAAGGAAACTTCTATCAATATGAGAAAGCGTTATAAGGTTTAATGACTGAGAAATTATATTTCCTGGAAAACTGTTTTAATAAAAAAAATTAAAAAAAGACTATAAATTTCATCTGACACTAATGCCAACTGTTCAATTAATAAATGTTGAAGGTTTCCTTTATGGAAACAACTAATATTACTAAGAGATAAAACGGACAGGAAATTGTGGAGTGTCATGATCGCTCACGTACTGAAGGCACATATAATAAAAAGAATGGAAACGGGCAATTTTACCATTAATATTACATACCGCTTGTATCATTCATTGGTCATTCGCTAACTTTAATTACCTTGTGTCAGACAAAACTGAATTTTTTATATATATATATATATATATATATATATATAAAACTATATATATATATATATATATTGGTGAGTGTACGGAATGATTTCTGAAAGTCCCGTCTCCAAAGTCGGGATGCTGAAGGTAACATCACTCAACTGAATGACAAATTTTATATTTATATTAATTTTATATTCTCTCTCTCTCTCTCTCTTCTCTCTCTCTCTCTCTCTCTCTCTCTCTCTCTCTCTCTGAAGAGAGAAAGAGAAAGTCATAGAAACTTTAATAGTGTGCCCTTCTGCAAAATATTTAACAATACCATAATATTTGCTTACACTTTCATATTATTCTTTAAACTATTAGGATTTATAGAAATTGAATAACCCGCCCATATCGATTGGAAGACCTATATTATTCTGTTGTCCTCATCTGCCTCTGATTATTCCGGTTATTAAAATAATGCTCTGGAAAAAGATCAAATTCTGGATTTTTTTTCTGTACATTTTGAAAGACAAAAGATGCTGTGTCATAAATAGAGTTTAGTAGGTAGATAAGTATTAAGTATGTCTTGTGGGCTGCTTTGTGACAAAAAATAATTGGTTATTTCCTAACAGTGTTACAGATCAGGGTTCAAGCGTCGGTAACAAAATCAAGCTATAGGATACTGATTCTCAAGGTGAGCAAACGGGCTCTACTATACACAATACACATACACCGATTTTTCCAGTTTGCCTTTGTGCCCTACTCAGCAAAATGTACAAAACACACATGACACGGTAAAACACTGATACACTGAACTGCTCTCTCCTCCCTCCTCCTCTCTCTCTCTCTCTCTCTCTCTCTCTCTCTCTCTCTCTATTATATATATATATATATATATATATATATATATATATTCTCAAAATCTATAGTCAGCAATAAGTCAGCATATTTGTAAATTATTTATAAATAGGCGTCGGTTACAATCCTACATTGAAGTCGTCTTACTAGTGTTTCATAGTGTCTCGTTTTCTTGCTTTGCGTCCTCTTCGTCTTTCTCCTCCCCTCCTCCCCCTCCTCCTCTTCTTCTTCTTCTTCTTCTTCTCTGCTTCCTCTGCTTCTTCTTTTGCGTCCTCTTCGTCTTTCTCCTCCTCCTCCTCTTCTTCTTCTTCTTCTCTACTACTACTTCCTCTTCGTCTTTCTCCTCCTCCCCCTTCTTCTTCTTCTTCTTCTTCTTCTTCTTCTTCTTCTTCTTCTTCTGTGTCCTCTTCGTCTTTCTCCTCCTCCTCCTCCCCTCTTCTTCTTCTTTTTCTTTCTCCTCCTCCCTCTCTCCCTCTTCTTCTTCTTCTGCTTCCTCTTCGTCTTTCTCCTCCTCCCCCTCTTCTTCTTCTTCTTCTTCTTCTTCTTCTTCTTCTTCAATAAGGCTCAACAAGCGCACATACAGACACAGTTTTATGATCACCTCTCCTGCTTATCATTTTTCAAATGCATCTTCGTTGGAGCGAGTGCAGTTTACATTAGCGTTCCAACTATTGGTGGCGTGCTGGTGTGTGTGTGGGGGGACTCTACATGTAGGATGTAAGTATTAGTGCATATGTCGTAAAACAGACATGGCGATCGATAGTCTGCTGCTGTAACATTCCTGGCTTTGTCGGTGCACATGCTCTTCGCTATTTATAGACTAAATGCTGTGCTGTAGCCGTGACAGAAATGAGCGGCAAGGAACGCCACTTCTCACTTGTCCAACTCTCTCTCTCTCTCTCTCTTCCCCCTCTCTCTCTTTTTCTCTTTTTCTTTCTCTCACACTCCATTTCCAATTCGGATCGTTCGCTCCTTCCCTTTGAAGGATTGTTTTTCTTTTGTTCGCTCACTCTCACCCTCTTTCTCCCACTACTTCTAATGCTCCCTCCCTTTCTTTCGTCCTCTTTCTCTTTCTATTTCTCTACCTCCAGATTTGTCTTTCTTTCCAGGTAATTTCAAATTATTCGTTCCTTCTCTTTGCAGACCTCTCTCTCTCTCTTTCTCTCTCTCTCTCTTTCTCTCTCTCTTTCTCTCTCTCTCTCTCTCTCTCTTTTGCTTTTCTTCTTTCCAGTCTCTTACTTCTCACCTTTCTCTGTTTCATTTTTTCTCTCTTTCTCCCCCCAAATTTATATATGAACTGTCTTTCACTCTCTATATACAGCCTCTCTCTTTCTCCATATTTATATTCCCTTCCATCTATCTTTCTCTTCATGCCTCTTCCCCCCTCTCTTTCCACGTTTCTTCTTCTTTTTCTATCTATCTTTCTCTTCTGGTCTCTTCCTCCTCCTCTTTCGTTTTTTTTCTTTTTTTTTCTCTTTCTTTCCAGTCATCTCTCTCTTCAGGTCGCTTCCTACTTTTTTCCAGACGTTCTTTTCTCTTTTTGCCTCTTTCTCCCTCTCCCTCTCTCAGCTTTACTTTCTCTCTGTACAGAAGATTCTCTCTCTCTCTCTCTCACTTACCAGACATGACTTTCTCGTCAGCTTTCTTCTTCCCACTCTTTCCAAGTTTCAAGGTCTTTCTCTTTTTTTATGTCGCTCTATGCCTTCAGCTTTCTCCATCTCTTTCTTTTTCCAAGTTTCTCTTACAAAGTTTCACATTTAAAGAAACATTTTCATAATAATAATAATAATAATAATAGTTTGAAGTGCCAAAAAGTTTAATACTGTGACATTACGAACTCACTACATTACCCAAAGAGGATAGAAAGTTTCTTGATGGTAGTTACTGAAAGGTTATTTGCAAAAGTTAATCTGGAACAAGAGAAATAGAGAATCGCGCTGATAACCGTTTTTACACTTAAACACAAGTTACATTGGTACCCAATTAGTTACTTTCAGATGCAGAATACTACTTTTAAAAATACAACTTCCATGTATATATATATATATATATATATATATATATATATATATATACAATCTCTCTCTCTCTCTCTCTCTATATATATATATATATATATATATATATATATATACAATCTCTCTCTCTCTCTCTCTCTCTCTATATATATATATATATATATATATATATATATATATATATATATATATATATATGTATGTATTTGGGCAGCAATCCCTCTTTTATGCAAGTTTCATTGACAATGACTGACAAGGTTGCAGTGGTTGAGTTTTTTATATAATTTTCATGTGTTCTTAAAAATTTTTTTCTTTTCAGGACATAAATTATATAAAAATAGGCAGAATGTTTTCTAAATGTGATGGATAAATTGTCGTCCTTTTATATTTTTAATTTCACGCATGCGCGTTTGTTTGTTTTTGATTCTGTCAACTGCATTGTATACTAAGATCACTTGGACACCGTTTGTGAGAAAAAATGCACCATTAATTCGGCGGAAATTTGGAAACGATATGCTGTACTGCTTGGCATTCGTGACTGAAGCTCCATTATGAACATTTCAGAGTGTTTGGGTGTCTATTTGAAAAAAAGTGATGAGGATTTTGGTAAAAGTTGAATGAGTTTAATGGTAATTACAAAGGTGTTTGGAGTGTTCACTAGTGATGGCGACGTTATGCCCCCATTCATCTTCCCACAGGGACTCACTCAACACGGAGACCTACATCAAGTGTCTCGAGGTGGTAGTGCTGCCCTGAGTCAAGAAGGTGGCTGCTAGAAGACCCTATGTCTGGCAACTGGACTCTGCACCAGATCACACAAGCAGGTGGACCCAGTCATGGCTAACATACAATTTCTTTGACCACATCCCCACCTACATCTGGACACCTAGCTCCCCAGACTGTAACTCCCTTGCTCCCTTGATTATTATGTGTGCGGCGCAGTTGAGCGACAGACCAACAAAAATCAAAAGATGAACTGAAGGCAAGGATCATGGCAGCATTCACCAACTTAAGCATGGAGACCGTATAGAAGAGTTGCAGGTGATTCTGAAATCGTGTGGCGGTCGTAGTTGAAGCCGATGGCGATTTTATTGAATAAATTTACTCTTTAGTATTTCAAGATATTTCTGTGTAATTTTGGTAAATATATCTGTTAAAATTAGTATTAGTGAGTATTATTTTTATTAGAGTAATTTGGGCGACAATTTATCCATCGCACCCTATATATATATATATATATGTGTGTGTGTGTGTGTGTGTGTGTGTAGGATTAATACAAATAAAAAAATTATCACTTAACTGATTGATGTTATATTGATCACCATGACTTCAGAGTTTGGTAAACGAAATTTTATAATCGTTCAGTTCATTCGTCAGGAGCTTTCAGCAACAGACTGTCGATTTTTTCATTTTCCTTATTTTTGTACTAACCAAAAAAATTATCCGCTTTTGTGTGTGTGTGTGTGTGTGTGTGTGTGTGTGTGTGTGTGTGTGTGCGCGCCCGCGCGCGTGATCGCGTGCGTGGGTGTATTCAATTGTAATTAATAGTATTGAATAAAATGTTGATGTAGTGACTATGATAGTTTAGCCATTGTTTTAGTTATTTAAGCTAGAATGAAAATTAAATGAACCTGGAATCAAGAGAATCTTCAAATGTAAGGTTTGTAACATAAATCCAGTTTCCCTCTCTCTAACTCTCTCTTTCTGTCTGTCTCTCTCTCTCTTTCTGTCCCTCTCCCTCTCTCTCTCTCTCTCTCTCTCTCTCATTTGAAATACGATTTGTACACCAAACAATCATTTTTCTTGCAATAGAAGTTTGCAATGGCTTATAATAATAAAGGTAAAAAGGAAAGAAAACAAAGAACCATAATCATGATCATAATTCTTATTCATTAAGCAGCGATCTTTTGTTAAAATTACAAATTATATAATTAAGAATCGTTTGCTTCTCTCTTCTTTGCCAAGTTAAAGAGAGGTTGTTCTTTGGAATAGGATGAAACAAATTTAAAGACCCCGGGAAATGTTAAAACTATTTTTTTTAATTCAAAATCCCTTTGAGCAAATATTGTTATTATACTAAAATGATTGAAGAAGTAAAACCTTAACGTCTATTCTTGAGAAATGTTCACCTCAGTTAGAAATGATTCGCTTTTTATTTGTGTAAAAATTAAAAGGAAAATTCAAATAATTTTAGTATTAAAAATCTGTTTTAAGGTCTTTCTCACCCAAAGTTCTACTCACTCAACTAAAACAGTTTTCAGAATATTTGGAAAATGTTTCTTTAAGAGATTCCTGCAAATTCATGCTAAAATGTTCTAAACTGTTTCTATGAGCGCTGAAATGGTCAACTGTTCAGGTAAAATCATTTAGTATTCGAATGCGTTGAAAACTCGCAATCGAATATTGCATCTCTGCTGTAGAAGGCAAGCAAGGCGCATCATGGTGGAAAAATGCTTATCAAGATAAAACCAGCAAGGCTTTTACTATAGTGTACTGAATTTAATCCTCACTGGTACGTCGCACTTATGGCTTAGTGACCAACTTTAATACTCACTGGTACATTGCACATAGGGCCCTGTGCTCAACTTTAACCCTAACTAGTACGTCGCAATTATAACCCTGTGCTCAACTTAAATTCTCTCTGATACATCCCACTTGTGGCCTTGTACTCATCTTTAATCCCCAGTGGTTCATCGCTTTTATGGCATTGTGCTCAACTTTGATACTCACTGGTAGATTGCACTTATAACCTTGTGCTCAAATTTAATTCTCACTTATAAATTGCACTTATGGCATTGTGCTCAATTTTCATCCTTACTTGTAAATCGCATTTATGGCATTTTGCTCAACTTTAATTCTCACTTATAAATTGCACTTATGGCATTGTGATTAACTTATGGTCTTGTTTAACTTTAATCATCACTTTTACATAGCACATTTTTACATCACAATTATGAACCTCTGCTCAACTTTAATTCTCACTAGTAAATTGCGTTTATGGCCTTGTGCTCAACTTTAATTCTCACTAGTAAATTGCGTTTATGGCCTTGTGCCCAACTTTAATCATCATTTTTACATTACACTTCTGGCATTCTGCTCAAATTTAATACTCACTGGTGCATCGAACTTATGGACATGTGCTCTACTTCAAATCTCACTTGTAAATTGCAGTTATGAGATTGTGCTCAACTTTAATACTCACTGGTACGTCGCACTTATGACCTTGTGCGCAACTTTAATTCTCACTGGTAAATTGCACTTATGGCCTTTTGCCCAACTTTAATCATCATTGATAAATTGTCTTTATAACCTTGTGCTCAAAATTTAATTCTCACTTGTAAATTGCAGTTTTAACCTTATGCTCAACTCGCTGGTAAATTTCACTTATGGCCTTGTGCTCAACTTTAATCCTCACTGGTACGTCGCACTTCTGACTTTGTACTCAATTTGAATTCTCACTGATACGTCACACATATGGTCTTCGGCTCAACTGTTATCCTCACTGGTAAACACAACTGTTCCCAAAAGAATGTTATGGACGAATGAAAATCTGAGTCAAATAAATACTTTCAAATTTGTTGAATTAAACTTATTGTCATGCGAACGTGCGCCCATGTATGTGTGTGCATAGATGTGTGGATACATATGCCTGTATGTAGTTTTGGATATGTGTCTATGTATGTGCAGGTACGTGTATTCTTCTGTGTGTGTACGGATGTATTTTTGTATATGTGAGCTAAGTGTGCGCATATTGTTATCGAGGTCAGATTATGTAAGCGACACGAAAGGGCAGAAGCAAGACATCTATGCCAACCTACCTGTGTTGTTTGTTGTTAACAAGTTTTTTAGATCATCACCTGGACTAAGAAGGCACATGCCGGTACAGAGCGCCTACAGTGCAGATCCAGTCAACCCAATGAAGGATATATATTTTATCTCTTATATATATGCCTGATACATATGAAATCTAATAATGGTTTCAAGAAGTATTTTAGGGTCCATGGACTCCGAAAACGATGGAAGCCATTACAAGTGATACGAAGAGTGGGGAGGTGACTATCATCTGAATACGTGTGACAATCACCATATGTGTTTATGTATTTGTGTACATGCATTTATATTTCTCTGTCTGTCTCCGTCTCTCTCTGTCTCTGTCTCTCTCTATCTATCTCTCTCTCTCTCTCTCTCTATATATATATATATATATATATATTATAAATAGCTAAAAAAAAAACTGCATTTGGATCCACAATTATTCCCACTCAATAGCCTCCAGAATATTTCGAAATACAACCGTTACCGCCCACCAAGATAACTTTTAGTATAATACAATAGACTACTTACAATGCAGTACAAAAGTCTACCCTCAATGCATCACTTACTTGTATATATAAAAATATTCGAACAAAAAACATAACGCGCATGGCCTGATGATTGCGTTTAGCATGAAATAGACTGTCGCTTCTGGGTGTTGATTTCAATATTCACTTTTTATATATATATATATATATATATATATATATATATGTGTGTGTGTGTGTGTGTGTGTATGCGTGTGTGCGCGTGTGTGTGTGTGTCTGTGTCTGTGTGTGTGTGTGTCTGTGTGTGTGTGTGTGTGTGTGTGTGTTGATATAATAGGAAAGAACTGTTAGATTGATAATCCGAAGTTCTTTGGTATTTTTGTTTTTATTATTAAAAAACATTGCTCGATACACAAATAGAGCCTAGATTATAATTATTTTTTTAAAAATATGATTCCATCGCGAAACAGAAATTACTATGTTTCGAAACTGGTCAGCAGTATTCAGGTTTAATCTCAGTATTAAACCTTAACTATCGTGTGGCAGTCACATCCTCAGGCAATCTTCTTAAGCACTGTTTTTAAAAATAAAAACATATATATATATATGTGTGTGTGTGTGTGTGTGTGTGTGTGTGTGTGTGTGTGTGTGCTGCAGTGATCTTCATCATTTCCAATGTGCATCCGTTGAGGAAAAATTTGTAAATTACAATTTCGGTGAAACACGCAAACGTAGAGAATTTGCATTTCCATGTTTCAACTTACCACAGAAGAAACTTTATTCTGATTGATACATCGATTCTACATCGAAACTGTTTCTAGAAAACTAATGAAGTTGAACGTTTGCTGAATCGAAAACATTCGCTTCTTAATTGAAAAATAAAACTAGCCTTGGGTAAATGCATCGTTTCTTCTTCTTCTGCTTTGTAAGCCGTCTTCTGATGTCGCTACTGAATATACCACAGTTTCAACAGCAAGTGAGGTATACATTCACCTTTTTCCTGATGACTGCAGTCCTTTATTTAATACATTGCGAAATAACAAGCAGAAATATATATTTTTAATTGGGAAATACGATTACAACTTTATAAATAGCTTGGGACATGCAAGTTGCGCACGAAAAATGAAATAGACGTGCCGAGTTCAAACTCTGACCGAGCTTGTTTCTTTCGCTACGAAAAGGCATGCAACTATCTTTCCCCCTAAAAGCATAAATAACAGGGCAGACTTGGTGTCAGCCAGTCTAGAAGGAAAAATCTCTGAATTCAAACACACGTTAATTATATGGCAGACTAAGTCCGTTTGCCTTGTTAGGGTCATGGATACTCTGAATTCAAAAACCAGCCACTGTTGCTAAAACTGTAGTCGATGCATTACGCCCACTATTTATACAAAGAAATCTTTTTCCACAAAACGCAACATCACTTTCTCTCCGCGCCATTTTCGACTTGATAATTGTCGAAGTTAATTTTAGTTTTTAGTTTCTAAAATTCGTTGTCGTTGGAGCCATTTTTGTCGAAGTTCGATAGAGGTTGTGCTAATAGTTGTAGATGTTCGTTGGTGCTGGGGTTCATTGCTGTAGAGAGTTACAGAGAAGGTGGCACAGTTTATGATGATATGCGGGGAAGATAACGGTTGACCCTCGATTTGAACAGGTTAAGATTGTACTGATCGGGAAAGCATCCTCCTGTGAGTTGGTTCCACAGAGCAGCCGTTCACAAGAAATAGGTGGAACTTACATCTCGACAATCGAATACGTAGGAAACGAGAGTTATTCGCTACAGTGTGTGTGGCATGACGGGTCTTGAAGGTAGAAGTTAAAACTGGTGGAACTAAGGAATGTATTTCGTCTGGAAATAGCGATAGAGTAGCAAGAGGCTTGCGACGTTTCGTCTGATGGAAAGGGTGGAAAATAATTCATCACCTGCAAGGATGAGGATACACGTTTGGACTCTATCGAGACTGGGAAGTGAAAACAGTCCCTACCCATATATGTCAACAGTACTCCATTTACGGCTCTTGTAAAGGTAGAGGATATCAGGCGGAGTCAGTTACTTATTGGAGCGGTACAGGGAACCGACCATTTTTCCAGCATCTTTAGCGATGGCTCGTATGTATGAGTTACACTTGAGACCTGGGTTGATTTTTACGTCCCAAAAGGCACAACTCTGCCCTGAGAAAACAGCCGTTCATTCCGCGTAGCACCTAACGAACTTTGACAAACATAAATCTACGTTCTAAAGAACTATAAAAATCATGATCTTAATCCCAAATGAATTTTAACAGGCATAAACCTAGCCAATAACGAACATCTCAACCATAAACCCTAACGAATTTCGACAAACACAACACTAGTCCCTAACGATCTTCGACAACTATAAACCTAGACCCTAAAGAATTTGGAAAACTATAAACATAATCCCTAATGAACTTCGACAACCATAAATCAAGACAATTTAGACAACCTTGAATTTAGACCCTAATGAACGTCGTCAGTCATAAACATTGCTCC